CAAAAGATAGAAGAAAGAGAGACATGAGAGAGGGAAAAATAATTAGAAAGAGCGGAAGGGAGGGGTGTAGCTCAGTAGCGGTAAGCAATTACACAAGTATGTTCCCTTTCCCCTATGATCAGTATGCCATTCAGTTTACCAATTGAAATTGCTCGCAATCGTACCCGTGGAATCAGCAACACATTTTAACACAAAAAATTGTCCCACAAGTTCGATCACCCGTGAAAGTTCAATCTCTCAATGGTTATCCCGATCTTTATGTAAATTTTAGTCTGATGCAGAAAAATATCATCTACAAAAAAGAAGAAGAAGAAGAAAAAAAAAAAAAAGAAGAGGGGCTAAGCCTATGATTTGTAACCAAGTCCACAAGTGGATGAGAGGACAATTCATTCGAAAATATTCCTTTGTTCCCTCGATCGCCATCATGTCCCATTGCTCTCCATCGTCCTAAAAACTCGTCCGGATGCCATAGTTTCTGGTCCAATCACCTTCTCCATCCATGTCCGATGGTTGTCTACAGGTTACTCATCATGACCCACCCTTCTTTCTGCCCCTCTCATGCTACATATGTTTTCCCTATTTAAGCCCTTGCTCCTAACTATACAATGTAGTATACACCTATTCCTTAACCATTGGAAAGCCAAAAGGAACTAGAGTACATTTAATATATAGATTTTTATTTTGTCGAGTGTCTCAACAATGAATCGTATTTGGACTACAATTGACTGTATATGAGTAATTTAGTCCGTCAAGATGCTGCTCATAGCTGTATTATCGCCAGAAACACAAAAACTCCGCCGTTTCGAGTAATCTACATGTATATGTCCAATGGTCATTCCTATATCAAGTATGTGTGTTCCCTATTCCCTTAATTTAGTTGACTATCCGATTACAATTGGTACTCTGTGACTACACCATACTCTAAGGGCACGGGGGAGGGAGGAGGGTGTTGGGCAACTGCTAATGGGAGAAAGAAGAATGGCGGAGGAAGGGGCCGTGGAATCTATATTAGCATCCGTTCTCCGTTAGCATTCATGCAAGTATTTATAGGATGTAGTAGAGCTCTTGTACTGAGGAAGCTAACACGCAAAAGTAGATTGCACGACTAGAAGGTAGGCAAAAGCTTCATGCAGCGAGGGTGTGGCTGCCCCTAAAATGTCTTTCACCGATACCACTTGTCGGATCATCAAAGGGATATATCACTTCACCAGTGCACCTGCACATTGCATAACATGCCATACACACAAACATTTCCACAAGGTCCAAAGGAGGACAGAGAAAAGAGACTAGGACATTAGGGGGTCATACCACTTCGTCTTCGTTTTGCTCTTTAGCTCTTTAGCTCTTCGTTTTGCTCTTTAGCAAGTTATCCAAGTTAAGAGTCTCCATAGCAATCACACTTCTGAGTGAGCAGCTCCCTCGTACAAGTAATCGCATGCAATTGATAGGAAAGTGAATGGCTTATGTGGGAAGGAGTAACTGTATTTATAATGGGTGTTGATATGGATAAATGCAGTTCCCATGGGTGGAGTCACCACCATTCCGTATGTGCGGGGTCAAGAGAGCAAAAATACGCTTATTCTGAGGCGTTGTTCGATTACCATCGATGAGATCACCGCTAAGCAATTTCTCGATCACGTCGAAGTGCGTTTTGGCAGTGTGGTGTTGTTTTTCGAAACTTCTAGTTCTCTCTATCTGTCACCATACGGTATTTCCCACTGATTTCCGTCCTATCCTTCCCGTGCCAACCGATTTTGATGGTTTGGGTTTAGGTGAGGTCCCTCAAGGGCTGAGTCCTTCGATCATATGTCACCGCCATTCTGTATGTGTGGGATCAAGAGTGCAAAAATACGGTTATTCTAAGACGTTGTTCGATTAGCGTCGCAGAGATCAACGCTGAGCGATTTCTCGATCACGTCAAAGTGTGTTTTGGTGGTGTAGTGCTGTTTTTTYGAAAATTCTAGTTCYCTCTCTCTATCACCGTACAATATCTCCCACTGATTTTCGTCCTACCCTTCCCGTGCCAACCGATTTCGGTGGTGTGGGTGTAGGCGAGATCCTTCAAGGGCTGAGTCCTTCGATCGTATGTGACCCGTTTGGTCGGGTTCCAATAGTCCAATGATTCCTTGATCATGTCAAAGTGTGCTTTGGCAGTGTAGCGTTTCCTCCGAATTCTCTTGCTTCCTCCATTTGTCACTGCATGGTATCTTCCGCATATTTCCAACTTACCCTTCCCGTGTCAACTGGTTCTAGTGGTCTGGCTGTAGGCGGGTCGCTCGGGGGCTAAGCCCTTCGATTGTATGTGATCCGCTCGGTCGGGGGGGTCCTCCCAGTTGTTCCTAATTTTCCATTGGTTGGTTGTTGTCCTATTGGTTTGATCAAGGGTTCAAGCCAAGTTGTTCTCTTTCATCCGTTCCTCGGAAGTGGACGATTTTGATCCTGTTCGAAAAAATGTCTCAGTAACTATGAGTGGTGACCGGGGAGGGTTAGGGGAGAACTATTCGATGCCCTGTCTGGGGTTTGGAGTTTTTGCCAAACAGGCTCGCTATGGGCCTTATATACCATGTCATCGATGCTCGAGATTTTTTGCGGCACACTGGGCTTTGTTTGATGGTCTATCTTTTGTTATTTAACTAGGTCCCTTTTGGCCACAGTTGATGCAATCGGGGAAGCTTTCGACATTTTTTGCATAGGGTTTTTTTTGCGGATACCTGGTACTAACAGAGTATTACCCTGGTACCTGGGTATGCTATTATTTAGGTCCCGTTACCTGACCGCTTTTACTGCATAGTTCAGCGAATTTATTGCGGTTGTATGATTTGGGGTTCTGGTATCCAAAGCGGACTGGTTGTGACTTTAGTCCTTTTTCCCGCGTACATGCGTTTTCACTGTTTTGTGCCCACGATCGGTCTCCTGACACTACTTCGCCAGTGGACGGTTTTTGGTACACCTAAAGCTCTTGTTGGGCTCCTGCGTGGGACCTCGCGTCACGGATCCAGTATTTACATGGGCAGTTGCCCGAGCTTTTCCTTTCATTCTAATTTAGAACGTGCGTCGACGGTTGTAGCGTGAGCGAAGGCGACACTCTGGGTGTCGGTGATAACCTTGTGTGCCCCTCCAGCGGTGTACTGTTGTACCCGCCTGCCTGACGCTTTTACGACATCCAGCGACGTGAATCTCTATTCCGAGGACGACATCCAGTTTGGCGACTATGCTATGGCTGTGTTGTGATTGCTCTCTTGTCTTGTTTGTCTGTGTGGCAGGTGTGTGCCTTCACTATAATCAGGCAGTATAACGAGTGGTGGTCCTCTCCTTGTGACAGGTTTCAGGACATTTAGGGCTGCTTCGCATGAACATTTTTTTTCTCGACGACTTCTCTCTTTGTGATTGGCTGTGATTACTTTTGTTTCCAGTTGCGCTGCTGCGAGGGTGATGGGTAAATTGGGAATAGGCTAGCTATATATAAGGGCAAGGCATGGGTATGGCCCCTATCAGTAGTAGGACGACATCTTGTGATTTGTCCTCTTGAAGAGTCTATGTGCGGGATAGACGAAAATTCACGGAATGCGTCGAGGGTTGGTCGTGTGGTCTGTGGATCGTATTTTGTTGTATTCTGCTTCATGTTACTACTTTTGAGTGCGTATTTGAGTTGTTCATATTGATGTATCTTTGTCTTGCTCTTGTCTCATGCTGGATCTGTCTTGCCAGGCAGTTTTCCCTTTCCGATTACCGTGACAACCTCTAGTGAGATTACACACTAGGCTGGTGGCCACGTCTACGACTAGTTTTAGGTCTCTCGCATAGATCAGGGTTTCTCGAATTTMTGGGATTTGCGCATCAYGCGATTATCTTGGTTATTCGTTTATTCGGGTGATGTGTGCAACGATTGATGTGCGTGATGGAACGCGTCTTATTCCGTTGTATTTTTCTTATTTATGAGGTAGATGTGATGATTCGAATTATTGTCCTCTTCGATGATGTGTCGAACTCCGTTAGAGTGGTGTGTCGTTAGGATTAGGCTCACCTGAATTACTGCGGGTGTYCATTTTTTCGGTAGCTATCCTTCTATTCGATTTCTTCATCTTCTACCTTCGCTTGTTTTCTTTCATCATTTGTAGTGCGGATTGGGGCCGTAATCCCACGGGTGATCTGATTGATTGGCAGCTGCGATGTCATCATTCAATAGTAAGTGCTTCAATTGTGGTGGGGAAGGACACTTCGCGAGGGAGTGTCCTTTGGCCCGAAGTGCCCTATCGGGGCAAGGGACTAATTGGACTGGCGTCCGGCGGCGCCTCGTTATTCTGGGCTCGAAGACGTCGGTGTGCTGATAATAACGAGGAGCATGAGTTTTTGAGACAACTGATCACTTAAAAGAAGGAGGAACAGATGCGGAGAAGGGAATTGGAGGAAAGAAGGAGGTTTGATGAGATGGTCAAGCAAGAAATTGAAAGGAATTCGGAAGTGTTGGAAGCTCGGGTTATGTCTAAGATTGGGTGTCAATATCTTGCAACTAGGGATGAGGCTAGAGTTGAGGAGTCACGAGTCCCTCTGTTCCGTATGCCACGTAGTAGTTTGAAAGAAAGGGACATCTATTAGTATGCTAACAAAGGTCTTGAGGAAATCGAAGACGAAATCACCAAGTTGTACGAGATCCACGAGAGAAAGCGCAAGGGTAAGGTGCAAATGGAGGGTGGTGGCAGGTGGCCCTTCAAGCAACCGGTTTTCCGACGAGGGGGTTCGGTCGTTGATTCCCTGTTGTTGGGTGAATCATCAAGAATGGGTGAAGCAAGGGGCCAAACAAAGATTGCGACAGGTAGCGGCCCATAGGATTTTCCAGCGTACGTCCGGGCTCAAAAGCGGCTCCTCACTCCCAAGACGAAGGACGATCTTAAGGCTATATGCACGCAAAAAGGGCTCACTTATACAACCAAGGCACCCACAATCGAGACTATCATTGAGGCCAGGGCCAAGTTGGGGTTCAGACTGATGCTCCGGTTCAGCGGAAGAGTACGGGGCCTGCAGTACAGGTGGCGGCCTATTCGGAGGTCGACTTGGACGCGAGCGAGGGACAGGGTGTGGAGGAGGTGGACGCAGGAGGCCTGGGCTCGCAAGGAGCTCCGCAAAAGAGGAGGGGGAATCGTCCAGACGAGTTCGCCGGTTCTACAGAGAAGTTAAAGAGCAAGGTCCCCACGACTATGGGGGAGAAACGCAAGGGGACCGAGGGGGAGCAGGGCCGGCAGGTTGCCAAACGACCGTCTTCGAGACAGAAGCAGCCTGAGTCTGGACCGTTTTCTCCACCGACAACAGGGACTCCCATCGACGTCGATGCCGGGTACTTCCTCGAGTACAAAGACGGCGTTTGGACAAAGCGGGAGTTCGACATTAGCCCTGCGCAGGTCGTCGACCTCGAGGACAGGGAGGACTTGTGCAACCAGCGGTCCCTGGATTTCGTGCTCGTGGAAGGGATCAAAGAATCGATGTGGTTGGCGTTCGAAAACAAAGCGCAGTCTTACGATGTACCAACCCTGAAGTTGGCGCCGCTGGGGCTTGATAAACCGACTCCGGGGACCAAGGCAGAACCTCTGAGGCCGGAGGATTGGAGGGATGAGCTGGCGGGACAATACTACTACTACGCGGTGTGTGGGCAGCACAACGCGGCTGCAGCGAGGTCGCTGCTCGGCAGCGAGGTGGCCAGGAAATACAATTTCGAGCGGTGGCCTGCACGAATGGTCTACTTTTCGGACGACGACTTCGAAGGGTACTTCCTTGTCAGTTCCCAGGACAACAAGAAGGACCTGAAGGCGCCCCCACGACAGTTGAAGCTGTCAATGAGGGACATTAGGTGGCAGTGGAAGCGCGCCGGTTGCCCGCGTGCTGTTATGGGGAACCCCAGTGGAAAACATGATAGGTCCGGAAGTGGCGTGAATTTTGTAATGTCGCACTCAACATGACACCGCACAACAACTTGTGGATTCTCGTAGATCAGCAGGGCGAGGAGGCCATCAGGAAACAAGGCGCTGCCCTGCGTTCGTATTTCCCGCTGGCGATGGCAGGGGAGAACGTCTAGAAACTGGCCGTCGAGTTTTTTGAGAAATGGGAGACAGGCAGATTGCTCGGACACGACGGTGCAAAGTGGATGATGTGGAAGAAGAAAGTAAAAAACGTGAAGCCTGGGGTTGCATACATCCATAATGACAAGCTGGGCAGGAAGGAGGTCGTGTACAACGTCCCTGTGGACCCGCCGACAAAGAAAGGCAAAAAGGAGAAAGAGGAGGGCGAGTGGTTTGTGCAAGTGCCAGAGCTAGACGCGCATTGTTGGAAAACGATGGAGTTGCTGATAGACAACGAGAAGTGCCGCGTCCTGAAGAAGGTGCTCGCTTGCAAGGTGGTTTGGGTACAGGCCGACTCCCCAGCGTTCGCGAAGCTCGGAAAGCTGAGCGTCCAGGAGGTGGTGAATTTGGTGAAGTGCGACCGGGTGCTGGTGCGTCTGTGGAACTACTACCAGTTCAAGCACGACAAAAGGCCGGACGCGGATTGGAGCCAGAGGTTCCCGTTCCTGAAATCAAGGTCCGCAATTTTCAGACAGTTTGAGAGTCGTGGTTTGGATGCTGAGTTGTGGGACGGGAGCACGAAATACGTCACTGACTCCTCGCTGTTCAAGGACTGCCCGCCCTACATGGGCTGCGACGACGACAGATCGATCGAGGCGACGGAGAAGCTGGCCGGTCACAAAAAGTTGTCCGTCGACTGGAGGAATAAGGTCCTGTCCGTGTTGACTGGCAATAGACTGAAGAGTCGAGAGATCGCGCTGGCCGAAGGCATTGTGCACATAAAATGGAATGACACGGGCGACGTGACATCCATCGCGCCATTCGGCAACGACCCCTTGGAGGCAGACATAAGGAGTGCGGAGGTGAAGGAGGCAGTGGTTGCCACAAAGAGTCACACGTTCGTCCTCGATCTGTGCGAACCGGTGGACCTGAAGCTTTGGAAACYGCAAGCGTTCGACACTCTGGATTCCCAACTCCAGACGTGGTGTCCGTCGCATTRGACGCTCGTTGTTTTTGTCCCGCGGCAGCAGAACCTCTCCTTTCTGGCCAGCATGAACCATCTTTCTTTCGTCAAGCTGCTGGAAGGGAAGTGGGTGAGGAGGAGTCAATAAAAGAAAAGCTTCCCCGTCGGGAACAATTTGTACACGAAAGACGACCGGATGTACATACTCTTCAAAGGCGACGATTTGCGGGCCAACACGTCCGTCGTCTACGAGGGAAAACTGTCGGCAGGCGCCGCTGCTGCAGTGCGGGTACCACAGAGAGTTACGCAAACGGATGAGTCCGACATCCCGTTCAACCCTTGCGACTGGTTGCATACCTCGCCTGCACGTCGGGGCAGTGTGTACGGGGACATGGAACGCAACCCCGCGCAATTCGTTCAGCTTCTCGAATCCGTCACCAAGAAGGGGGAGGGTGTCGTCTTCCTCGGGAAGCCACACGCGCGGTCAGTCTGGGAAGTACTGAAGGCAGGACGGCACGTCATCGCGATGGAAGGGAACTCCGAGCCCTTGCAATTTACAATTGATCTCGTCAAAAGCGAGGTCAATTCGGGTGCCCACAATTGCGAGTTCATGGTCGTCACCGAGACTCGAGCTCGCGCGTGGAACAACAAGACGGACATGTGGTTCAAGTTGAGTGCGAGGAAGCGGAACAAGATATACGACTTCTTGTTCCTGCAAACGCGGCCGAAGAGAGACACTGAGGCCGAGTACGTGCGCCTCAAGGACCACATGTTCACGTTGCTCGACAACTACCACGGCGCCTCCCTCATGAACGCGAAGACCTTCCTCGAGAGGTTGCAGTCCCTTTACTTCGTGGAGTCAGAGGAGGAGCTGACGTTCGGCAGTTACTCCTCCTTGAGCTCCACGGAAGACGAGGAGACCACCGGCATCGAGTTCGACGCGACCGTGGATGAGGAGGGCAGCGACACCGAAAGCCTCGACCTGCAGTACGACCAACATTCCGCGTAGCACGCTATAGGGTCGTCCTTCGCAGGTCCGTCGACAAGCCCAACGTCCCTCGTGTCACCGATGGCGAAACCGGCGCCTGGCACTGCCCCGATGAAGTTGCTGCAGAGAATGCAAGCTCTGGCCTCCGGCCATCGCTCACTGCGTCCCGGGTCTGACATCCCGCCCGATCATCTGTCTTGGACGAATGCCAACATTCACTTTCTGCCTGAGCCTCAAAGTCGTTCCACGAAGGCGGACTGGGGCCATGACATGATTTGGCATCCAGGAGTCATCCAGCCGGCGATCCAAAAGGGTGAGTGGATCGTGGTGGTCGTTGTCCCGGACGGAGGATGGATGCCACTCCCTCGCGGGTCGAAGTTTGACTTCCTCGACGTCGCTAGAATTGCGGTCCTCCAGAAAGTGAGGGCCGAGAATGACTCTTTCGCACCCGAAGACGTGTCCGTCATTTCCACAGTCGGGCGATTGTTCGCCGAACTTCAGGACAAGTGGTGGTTGGAGCTAACGGAGGACTACTATGACCTCGACACGAGCCCCTCGAAAGGAAGGGTGGGCTGGAAAATCCCCCCTCCCAGTGGGACGCATGTAAGTACAGGGTCCCGGGGACCGGACGGTGGGGAGAACGAGGGCGACGAGGCTGGGGGCGGCAAACGAGTCCCGGGGCGACAACACGAGGGCGACGAGGCTGAGGGCGGGTGTCAGGGCGACACCACGACAGCGGAAGGCAGCGGCGGGGTGGCGGGGGAGGCCCTCGGGCGTCAGCAGTATACCGGTCCCAGGCCGGAAGGCTCAGCACTGTCGGCGGACGTGCCCAGTTCATCCGCCTGCTCGGTGATGGCGGCCTTGGTTGCTCTCCGTGCCGGCTCGGTCAAAACGTTCAAGTCCGCCGGGATCCGAACTTCAATGCTTGCAGAGCGGACAAAGAGGACGGACGTGCAGAGCTGGTCAGGACCGGGGGTGGCGAGTCGTCATCCCGAAATAGACAGCGGTGCGGTGAGGGACGGGACTTCGCCGCCTGCGGGGGATCGCCAACCGCTTCGGTCGGAGCGAGAGGGTGTGTGTGGAGGGCCCGACGACAGGGAGTCGACGAACTTCGCCAGGATCCGAACTTCTTCAGGCAGAGCGTGTGGAGGGCCCGGCGACAGGGAGACGACGAAGTTCGCTGGGATCCGAACTTCTTCAGGCAAGGCGTGTGGAGGGCCCGTCGACAAGGAGACGGCGAAGTTCGCCGGGATCCGAACATCTTCAGGCAAGGGGGGCTAACCAGGGATATTGGTGCAGGCGGGAGGGGCTGCGTGCGGCGGGCGGGAAGCGCATTCGTCGAAAATCGACACGGGTTCGGGCGAAGTGGCTGCATTGCATGCAGGGGAAGAAGGAAGGGTGATGGACAAAGAGAAGGAAGTGGAGGAAGGAGACACAAGGGAGGAATTGGAGGAAGGAGGGGATGAAGGGGAGGAAGAAGAGGATGAAGGAGAGGAAGGGGAAGAAACGGAGTTGGCTGGGTTGCTAGGAGGGCAGGAGGGGGAAAAAGGTGAACTCGATACAAAAGACGACGAATGGACTTTCGGCGACGACGATGACAGATCTGGGGAGTCGTCTGACGGATTTGGGCAGCTGTACGGAGAACACCGCGAGGAAGACGACGACGACGATGACACGACACTGGGTATGGAGATACAGGTGGTCACAAGCCTTTCGGCAGAACGTGATGACTATGATGTCGAAGCAATGACGTCTGCCGTCGATCTCCAACACCGGTTCAACGAAGCTCGTGTAGCAGTCAGCCTGACTAAGCCGAGTGTGCGTATTGACATCGAAGAAGTTATCGACGGCATCCTGGGCGACCACCATATGTCCGCGCAGCCGTCCTGGACGCCTGGTGTCGACGACCCTCTCGACGCCAAACCTTCCTAGGGATCTGTCGTCGATTTCTCGCCGATGAACTCTCCGATGCTGCCGCCGACCATCGCCAGCGGAGGAGAAGGCGGGATCGGGGGACGACAAGATGTCACATCCCTAAAAAAAACTGCCGCCGGCACTCGAGCTCTCGACGTGCTGGCCTTGCCCACACCAACCTCGTCGATTAAGGACAGGAGAGACAAACCAGCTGGTAAGCAGTGACAAACGCCACTCTGTCTGCGCGCCAGGGACCGCAGTGTCTGTCGATGCGGGGAGTTCCGGATGCCGGCATGCTACAGCCACCACTCCTTCAAACTTCCAAGTACGTGTGAACGACCATCCTGTGAGTCGGCCAGGTCACTGGTCGTGTGCAGGGCGTACGAGACAAAAACATGTGTGTTTTTGTTGAAGCGTTTCCTCACATAATGGAAGGATGGTGTTTCTTTTTCAAATGAGTGGTGGTTTTGGTCCGTCGGGATCCACACTGCCAAGGCCGCTGCGTAACGCGGTTACTATTTTGGTGCCTCGATTGGGAAAAGTCCGCCGGGATCCTGACTTCACAAATGTTTGGCCTCCGGGTTTGTGGCTTGTTGAGGTTTTCCCTTCTGAAGGGCGGGGGTGTCGAGATCGAACGCACTGCTCCTTTTGTTTTCCAGCGGGGCCTGCGCGGAAGTATTCTCTATCTTTCTCCTGGCTAAACGGGGCTCTGTAAATAGATAGGTCCTGCGTCTTCTACATTTTGTGGTTCTTGAGTTGTCGTTTTCGTCGGATTCGTCTTGGATTACGTGAGTTCATTTTCCGTTTTCTCTTCCTTCGGTTGCACAGGGGTTGGGTCATCTTCCTGGGTTGGAAAAGTCCGCCGGGATCCGGACTTCAGAGATGTTTGCCTTCCGCTTCTGTGACTTGATGTGCTTTTCCCTTCTGAAGGGCGGGGGTGTCGAGCTCGAGTGCACTGCTCGTTTTGTTTTGCAACGTGGCTCGTGCAGAAGCTCTCTCTCTCGCACTCTCATGGCATGACGGGGTTCTGTAATTGCATGGGTCCTGCGTCTTTTAGATTTCGTGGTCCTTTAATTGTCGTTTCGTCGGGTTCTTCTTCGGAAACATATATTCACTTTTCGTTTTGTCTTTCTTCTGTTGTACAGGGGTAGGGTCGTCTCGAACACGGAGGCCCTCTAAATATCCGGAACACATATTGCATACAGTCCTGGGGTTGACGACAAAACACAAGGACATGTTAAAGGCGTCAGGAGTTGATGTCGAAATCGGGAAGAAGGAGCATGCCATTGCCATTGAGGAGTGTCTTTCCCTTCCGCCCTCAGAGAAAGGGACATATACACGATCTGTGACTAGGGGTCAGACCATGTATGAGAAATACTTAGCTACTCGTCGTGTGATGAAGGAGAATCCTTAGTGTTCCGTTTCTCACTTCCCCCCCTGTCCTTTGCTCGATGTTGTGCAGTGCGGGCCACGGCACCTGGAACAGCAGTGACTGCGATTGGAAGCTTGCGGGTTTTGGACGACATTGAACGAGGCTTGGTGCCACCTGACACTGTACTCTCGACCCTCCGCGATGGTCAGTTGCGAATTGCAGCGAAGGATATTCTCACACTCTCACTTACCGACGGCAGGGTGAATGATGAGGTGGTCAACTTCTACATGGCGCTATTAGGAACGACCGCATATGGGACAAGTGACATCCCGCCAGGCCTTCGAGTCTTCACCTTTAATTCTTTCTTCTTCAGTAAACTGCAACTTCAAGGGCACGGTGGGGTGGAAAGATGGGCAAAAAACGTGGATCTGCTTGAATATGATATTATCTTTGTTCCAGTCCTCAAAGATAATGATCACTGGATCCTCCTTTTCGTGAGCTTGAGAGATAATGTTCTTGAGATTTTCGAGTCTTTTCCTTGCGTTGTAGCCCATTCTTGTTTTTACCTTAGTGTTTTCGAGTTGATCGTACACTATTTGGAATGTCAAACATCACATAGGCGGTCATGCAGGTGCTGGAAGTCGGTGGCAGCAAATGTTGTTACAGAGGGAGTTCCAAGACAAGTGGATGAAGTTAGTTGCGGGGTGTTTATGTTGATGTTTGCGACACTGTTGCAACGTGGCGATCGACCGCCTTTCAGGTTCTCTTGTAAAAATATTCCGTATATTGGACGACAACTGGCATCATGTATCTTGGAATGTCGTTGTCTTTGATGGATTCGTCTGATTTGCAAACTTCCGTTTCAGAATATTTCATATTTTAATTGTCGCTTTCACAACGACATTACTTTCTTTCAGTGTTGCAAATTTGAGTTGTCTTTGGTATGTTGACTGCCAGTTTGGTGTCGCGTATTGCATTCGGAATCTCTGTCAGATCCGGCTCGTCCGTCGTGTCATTACATTCATCGCATTGCAGTCCTCGTTGCAAATTGTGTCCAGGTCATCCAAAGTTGTGCATATAATTCACCTCAAAATGATATTCGTGTGTGTGGTGCGATATGACGAATTGGAGTGTGGATGCAAGACAAATCTCGGCGAGTGTGTGGGTGTGAGGTTCGTTATGCAAAGAGTGAAAGACCAGTGACATCACGTCTCTTGTGTGCATAGACAATCATGTACTTGTGACCGCCTGAATTACATGTGACCGACAATTTTGCGTTCTTGACCGGGAAAAATAAATTGTATGTCAAAAATAACAGTTACTGTTTGTACTTCTAAAAAGGTTTGAGTCTCTACAACATCCAGACAACCGCCTCGGACGAGACGATAGCCATGCACGCATAAAAAAAATAAATAGTATTATCCAACAAGGATTCAATCATGACACCTTGCTCATCACATTCACAAACTTGAAGTTTGACAAGTGTGGCTCCCGACACACTATCGCACAGGCATCCCGGATGGGCATGCCTGTCGCTACTCTACGTCGTCTAATATAATTATCCAACGAGGATGCAATCATGACACATTGTTTATCACAATTATGGAATTGAAGTTTAACAAGTACGGATCCCAGCACACTTTCGCACAGGGTTCCCTGATGCGCGTGCGTGTCGTTATTCGTTTATGAAGTTTTACAAGTGCGGATCCCGACACACTTCGACACAAGATTCATGGCACATTTATGAAGTTCAACAAGTAAGGCTCCCAGCACACTTCCGCACAGGGTTCCCTGATGGGCGTGCCTATCGTTATTCGTTTATGAAGTTTAACAAGTACGGATCCCAACACACTTCCGCACAGGATTCCCAGCAGTGCCATGTTTTTGAAGTTCAACAAGTAAGGATCCCGGTGCACTTCCACACAAGGTTTCCGTGCGGCGTGCCTAACATGTACGGGTTTGAACACGCTTCCTCATTTGGGATATCATTTATAAAGTTTCACAAGTACGGATCTCAGCACACTTCTGCATGTGCTTAAGCCATGGATGGGCGTGCCTACGTTGCTTGGAATGCAGTCAAAAATGAATTCATTAGAAAGAGGACACAGTATAATGTCCTATTTTAACGAATAACATGTTAATACATGCGGTCTCCGAATGTCTTGAACTCAGAGAAGAGATGAGGACAGAGCGAGAAGAGACTAAGAGGAGGAGGGGGAGAGTTTCCACACGACTCGACGAAGCAGAATTCCTCAGTCAAGCCCAGTTTCTTCTCGGGCATTTCCCCCCCACATGCCATGTCAGCAATACAGTTCTCCCCTGATGATCTCTGACATACACAATGAACAGCTCACAACAGGTCGCCCATCCTCCAGCCACGTCAGCAGCAGTCAAGGAGGATGGCGCAGATCTCCCAAAGGAGCAGCAAAACACAAGCGTCGTCACGGGTATGTCCAGGTAAGCGTCTCCTCATCACTCACACCACTCTCACAGTCCAGATCCTCCTCCTCCTAGCCCACATTCCCATCAATGTCGAAATAAATGTCGCTATGACCATGTGAACATAATCACCCTCAAGCCGGGGCCTGGCTGCCACCCACACTCAATTTCTGGCACCATCATAAATCTCCAACCTGTGTGACACCCCGTACAAATACGGAGTGTCCGTACGGCCCATACGGCCCTACGTACGGGCCCCTAGGCGGCCGTATGAACCGTTTAGCCAACCTTCCCAGGGGCTTCTGACACGTGAGGGGGGGGACGGGGAGGGGGGTGCATGCCATGGGCTACCCCCCCGAAGTAAAAAACAAGAAAAAAAATTGTTTGTTTGGGCAGTGAATCCCCCTTGGCGGCGGACAAGCACAGCCAAGTCCGCGGCCGCGGCCGAGTCCACGACCCCGCGGACGCTTCCGCGTGGCCGCACGACTTCGCGGACGCGTGGCGGCCGGTGGGGAGGGGGGTTGGGGATTCGGGAAGCGCCAAGGGGCGGCGCAACCCCAACCCCACCCCCTCAAGCAAAAAAACAAAAAACAAAAATAATTTTTGGGTGGAGTAGTAACATGAAGCTGAATACAGCAAAATACGATCCACAGACCACGTGGCCAACCCTCAACGTGTTTCGTCTATCCCGCACATAGACTCTTCAGGAGGACAGAACACAAGATGTCATCATACTATTGATAGGGGCCATACCCATGCCTTGCCCCTATATATAGCTAGCCTATTCCCAATCTACCCATCATCCTCGCACCAACGCAACTGAAAACGAAAGCAATCACAGCCAGTCGGAAAGAGAGAAGTCGTCGAGAAAAGAGATGTTTATGCAGAGCAGCCCTAGATGTCCCAAAAATCGTCACAAGGAGAGGGCCGCCACTCGTCATACTGCCTGATCATAGTGAAGGGAGACACCTGCCACACAGACAAACAAGACAACAGAGAAATCACAACACAGCCAAAGCAAAGTCATCAAACTGGATGCCATCCTCGGAATAGAGATGCACGTCGCTGGATGCCGTAGAAGCGCCAGGCGGGCGAGTACAACAGTACACCGTTAGAGGGGCACACAAGTCTTCTGAAGACAAAGGATATCACCGATGCCCAGAGCGTCGCCTTCCCTTGCGCTACAACCGTCGACGCACGTTCTAAATTAGAATGAAAGGAGAAGTTCAGGCAACTGCCCATGTTAATACAGAATTCGTGAC